GAGCTCAAACAATCCGCCCGCCTCGGCCTCCCAGAGTGCTAGGATTACAGGCGTGAGCCACCACGCCCGGCCAAGACCACAACTTTTAAGTCTACTAAAGGGAATCCACCAGGCCCTATAACAACATAATACTTCAAATATTCTCAAGTAAAGTTTTTGCTAAAATGAAAGCATTTTCTACATTCTGTTAATCATTACTAGTTTACTGGTTCAAGAATTAAATATTTTTATGCCTCATAAATTCAGTATTAATTTTCCTTAAACAAAAAGAAATGAGTTTCTCTGAACCTATTCTGGTTTGGGGGGCTGCCTGATAGAAAAATAAAAGGAAATAAAGCAGTTAAGGCCGAAGATAACTCAAACAGTTTTAATTTCTTTCCTTAAAGAATTTTTATAAGAAGGATTAAGAAATTTCTTTCTTTTTAAAAATGTATTTATTTATTTTAAGAAATTTCTTAACACTAAAGACAAGCAGAAAATGAGACAGAAAGTCTGGCAACATTCTCTCCTTGACCTGGGTGGTGGTTACACAGGTATTTGTGTTATAATTCAATAAGGCTGTACATTCATATTTTTCTGTTGGTATTATATCTCACAATTTCAAAAGTTAAAAAAATAAGTTAATTTTACATATGTCATTCTATTGTTTTCTGTTTTTCATTTTTTGTAATGCTGGTCACAACCCATTCATTTTACAACTACAGATTGTAACTCAGAGTTTAAAAAACACTGATACAGTGGGACCGTAAAGATTTTGAGAGGATTAAGGGGTGAGTTTGCTATCCGACACCAAAAAACATAAGGCAGATAAGGCTGAAAAAGACTTGAAATGGTGTTTGCTTGAGGGTAAATTATTCCCAGGATTTTGCTAATGTAACTTTAATGTTACCTACCTGTCGTAACTGAGATTCATCTCGAAGCTGCCTTCTGGCTTCATTGTACATTTCATCTAGCCCCTGCCGAGAATGCTTATATGTTTGAAGCTCAGTTTCCACATCTACTTTGGTAACCTAGGAAGAAAACATAAAAACTTTTTATTCTATAATCACTAATATTAATATAGCAGAGAAATACCTACTTTACGCTAAAGTCCTTAAAAGTATTAACTTTTGACACAAGACAGTCTGTTTGAAAGCAATCTGTACTCACCTCTAGGTGCTGCTGTGTTTTCATTAAAATCAATTTATTTTCACTTCGTAATTGATGATTTTCTTCTTGTAGTTTAATGATATTATTCTTTGCTATTGCTAACTAAAAATTCAGAAACAGAGGCAAGAAAAAAGATTTTAAACATCTTTATACTTGTTTTATAGGTCTTGTGTCTACAGGTCTAGGTTTTGTGTCTATAAACAATAGAAAATAAAATCTTAAAATTAGTAAAATATCTCTCACATCCATAGAAACTTTCATAAGACAAATGTGCTCCTTATTATCCCAAGATACCAACTAAAGAAATTATACTTATTTCCTTTTGTACTATTCCTACTATTTCCTTTTGTAGTTGAATCATATTATGCTTATAATAAACATATTATGCTTATTGTCTGATTTACAATATGATCTGAATAAAAAGTATCTCAGTAAACATATAAAAATTATGCATTAAACAACAAAGACTTGTGTAAATATAAAAACATGTATAAGGAAAGAAAGTTGTGCTATCATGAATACAGACATTCACAGTAACTGAATGTGTCACCCTGTAAAATCTGGGCACGTCATGAACTTAAATGACTATGACAAACATGTAGCTCTCACCATCAGACTTAAGTATGAATGACTTAGGTTCATAGTACTAATAACAGAAGCCTAAATAATTCTGAACATAGGAAACAATAATTCTGTGGTTTGATAGTTTCTTAAAAAAACTTATCTAAAAAGCAACTCTACAAAAGTATTAAAAAGAGAGCCGAGACAGATTTCTGGTTCTTCTTCAAATGAGCTCTGGGACCACTGGATAGCCGCTTTCACAATGTAAGAAACCAGGGTACATGGGATGAGTTTTACACATGGGAGGGTAGACATGATCATGCAGGGATGCTTGGGAAGAAAAGTAATCTGACCAGGGGAACAAGAAAGACAGTATCATTTTAAGAAGAATTTCTAACTATAGGTGATTCCACTAGGTAAGTACAGGCCATCCAGATTTTAAAATGAGAATCACAGCTTATCTACAGAAGAGTTTGTGTGAGTTTCATCTCTGGGGCTCTTTTCTAGAAGTTGAGTATCTCATATATAGATTGACTTAACTGAAAATTTGCCTAAGAATATGTGCTTTCTCTAGAACTTATACCATCAATTAAAACTGTATTACAAGTATTCCATTAAATAATGAAAATGTGTGTGTGTATGCTTAATGCATTCATACTTAAAATGGAAAGAGATCACAAACACTAGGTCCATGAAATACTTTTATCCATTACTGGGTGACAGTACCTCTTCAATCAGCTTAGTATTTGACTTTTCTAATGAATCAACTCTTGAATGGAGGCTGCTGACTGTGCTGCTGAAATTAATAAAGAAAAAACTTATTCAAAATCACACAAACTAACAAAGGCAAGAAAAAATTTGTTAACCTAAACTCATATGTTGACTGACACACCAACAGTCCTGGCCAAATGTGTGAGTGTGGAAAACATCATTAACTTGGGTGACTTGATTTGGCTAGGAGACCAATAGAGAGTGCAGTAAAAGATTCAATATTTCTTTTGAAATTCCATTTGGTGTTACTCATTATTTTTTATTGTCTTCTTAGGGTCCTTCTTACATTTAACTGATAATATTTGAGAATGGAAATTCCACATACAGATTACTAAATATTATTAAAATTATATTTTATTTTTATTTATTTTTTGTGACAGAGTCTCACTCTGTCACCTGGGCTAGAGTGCCGTGGCATCAGCCTAGCTTACAGCAACCTCAAACTCCTGGGCTCAAGTGATTCTCCTGCCTCAGCCTCCCAAGTAGCTAGGATTACAGGCGCATGCCACCATGCCTGGCTAATTTTTCTATTTTTAGTAGAGATGGGGTCTCGCTCTTGCTCAGGCTAGTCTGAACTCCTGACCTCAAGCGATCCTCCCACCTTGGCCTCTCAGAATGCCAGGATTACGGGTGTCAGCCACCACACCCAGCCAAAATTACATTTTAAATTATTTTTAAAAGCATGAACTCTAAATGTCTACTTTATAATTATGTGGCTTGATGAAGCATATAAACGATGGTCTTTAATTCAAGCCCCATTCTGTTTCCCCTCTCCGTTTTCATAATAACTTAGAGATCTCCAAAGTTATCCATAGCTTGAGAAATAGGAATACAAGCTATCCATCATCAGATACCTATCATCAAGTACCTGGCAGCTAAACACCTGTCTTTCCAGAAGATAGTCAGAAGTCAGATTATACCACATGAACACACCTGTTTTTTGTTTTGTTTAAATGAATCAAGACTAGACATTATTGTACATTTCATTAAGTCTGTTTTCTAAGGCCTGCTTGATACTGTCTCAAACTTTCTCTAATAAAATGGAATATGCCATGTATATAGTGTATTACAGCAAAATCAATAACATACGACAAATTTTATACTAGCCTCAGAAACAAGTATTGGTATTTTAGTTTAACTGGTGAAACAAGAAAATGTTTTTCCATTCATATTAAATCATTTTTTAAATATAATCACTCTTAGGTAAACAACTTGAGTTTTTCACAAACAACAGAATGTACTGATGGTGAGATAGACAAGTACAGGTCTGGGAAATGTAAGACCAAGGTCATGGGCCTGCTTTTCAGGCTGTGTTACCTTGAAAGTTATGAAACCTTTCTAAGCTTCAGTTTCTTTTCTGAAGAAATACAATAGTATTTGCCTTGACTTTATGTGAGAATCAACAATCTCCAATAAACCCTCAATAGTAGTTTTATCTGAGTGAAGACTAATAGATTAATTCTTTTTTTTCTGCATCTGTTCTCTATATTGTTGAAATATTGTAAATGTACAACTTTTTATTAGAAAAAGCAATGAAACATTTTTAAAACATAAAGTGTGCAAAATTAAGGCACTAATAGTTCTGTAACTGATTAACACACATGATTTAAAAGACTGAGAATGAGAAAACTGTTTTGAACTGAATAGAACAGATACCAAGATAAACTGTTGAGTGAAAATACTCAAGTACAGAGCAGTGCGAAAGTATGGTACCTTCTATGTAAAAACAATTAATGAGAACAGTCCATTCATTTCTAACTATGTAGCAAATATTACTCAATATACCTATGCTGTTCAGTGTGGTAACCATGAGCCACATGTGGATACTAAGCATTTAAAATGTAGCTAGTCCTTCCCCTTTAAAAATACAAGATGGAAAAAAAAAGAAAAAAAGAATGTAGCTAGTCCAAATTCAAATGTGCTATAAGGGTAAAATATACACTGGATTTTGAAGACAGTTCCCCCCAAAATGTAAAATATCTTATTAATAACTTTTTTAAAGAGACAAAGTCTTGCTGTGTTGCCCAGGCTGGTCTTGAACTCAAGGGATCTTCTTGGATCTTCCAAGTAGCTGGGACTACACCCACACACCACCACACCCAGCTAATAATAATTTTTATACTTATTACATGTTGAAATAATATTTGGGGTATATTAGGCAAAATAAAATATATTTTGTAATTAATTTTTTAACATTTTTAACGTGGTTACCAGAAGTTTTAAATTACCTATGTGTCATACATTATATTTTTATAATAACTGCACTATACTATTTTACATACAGATCTCAGAAACTCTTCTCAGCTAGAGTATTCATTGACGGCTTCAATGACCAGTTGACAACGTTAAGAAGGAGAAAACTTCCACCATAGAAGATGACAGCCACATTTACACATGAAGCCCTTTGAAGTAGGAAAAATAAATGTTTGAAGCATCAAATGATATAAACTTCTACCTTATCTAGCCTTTTTTCTTAAAGGAACAGTGATTAAGTTCAAAATTTTACTTCAATTCTATGAAGATTTTATTTAAAAATCTTACTCTCATTTTCTGCTGAAAATGAAATAATTCTCTGTATTCTTAATTTCCATTCTCTATTCCCTCAACCTCTCAAAGGTGCTTAGAAGAAAGAAATAGGGTTAAGCTGAAATGAAGGGAAGAAAAACAAAAACAAAAACCTAAGACAATATTCATAAATGTGCTAAGTATCCATAATACTTACTTCAGTTGTCTATTTAATTCTTCAACATAATTCTTTTGGTCTAATATGGCAGCAATTTGAACATTCCTGGGGGGAGAAAACATAGTTTTGTACCAGTTGAAAGGTACTTTTTAGATGCAAAAAAAAATCTAAGTCATCTAAAATTGTTGTAAAATCATAATGGTATGACAACATTATCTTCATTTAAAACATGCATGTAAGCTCTGTACTGACTAACTTTGTTGAATAAATTACTTGTTAATAATAAAATTAACAATACCATTAGTATATTTTAAATTTAAACACAATTATATCTTGAAATAAACCACTACTTGTAAGCTTGTGAATAATAAGCTTTCGTCTCTTCTATCACAAAACACAGTTATTAAAATGGGTCTCAGTAACTACAGCTGTGGCCAAAAGCTCTACTTTATATTGAAGCCTCCTTCTAAGTGATTTTGCCTAATTTGCTTTGTAAAGTTACAATATAAGTGGAAGTGAAAATGAAACAAAGTAGAAATGGGGGGGGGGACAGAAAACCACATTGTATAATACATAGATGGAGCCCACCCACACTGATTTGTAAAGAGCTATCTAAAAGATACATGTGAAATAACTTTTGAAAATCATACCTTTCTTTATTTCCAATATCTTCTTCATTCTTTAAATACATAGAAAAATCAATCACTCCAACCTGAAGTAAATAAAGTTATTTTTATTTAAAGGAGAGAAATACTACTTAATCAGAAGTACCTTTACTGAATTTCATAACTTTTCTTTAGTGTTTAACAGCACTGTTTACAAATTAAAGTGATATCTGGATCAAGGGGGGACTGCGCAAACTGAAAACACTCTGCATTTGGTACTAATCACTTTCACTTACTTGTGAGTCTAAATCCTCTCCCTTCACACACAGATTAGCATCTATCACATTCAGGCCAACCAGCAGCCCAACAATTACTGCTCCTTCTTCTTCCATCATTAGTGCATGATACTCATAGAACTCACTGTAAAAAAAAAAAAAAAAAAAACCTTAATTCACAAATTTATTTCAAAAACTAAATTTTAAAATCACCTTATTTTCCTAACCTTCCACTTTATAGATACAGAAGTAATCTAAGTTACATAACTTCAAATTAGTGTTTCTACATGTGAATAACTTTTTAAATTTTTGAAATTTAAATGTCTATATAGAATTTAAATGTCTATATAAAAGAAAAAGACAAAAGGAGATAGAAGAGGAAAAGGAATTTTGAGAGAGAAAAGAAGAGAAGCAAAGAGACATCAAAAGAAAAAGAGGCAACACTGAAGCCCAGACTGTTTCTGAATCTCAGAAGGATATAGTGACTGTTGCTGATCTGATTATGACACTTTTTATTAGAGTTGAATGTTTTAAAATTTATTAAGACCCTTGGATAAAGACTAAGGTGGGAAATGAACATATGAAACATTTCAAAGCCCAGGTTCAAGTCAATGCATTTGATAGGTGTATTGTAAGTGCCCTTAATAGATAATCATCAATTAAAGACACTCTATTTACACTCTAAAAAATGTCCAAATAAGAGACTTGTGAAAGAAGCAGGACAGTCTAAAAACAAAGTCTTGTCTCTAAAAAAAATAAAAAATTATCCAGGCATGGTAGCACATGCCTGTAGTCCTAACTACATGGGAGGCTGAGGCTGGAGGATCCCTTCAGCTCAGGAATTTGAGGTTATAATGGGCTGCAATAGTGCCACTGCGCTCCAGCCTGGGTGACAAAGCAAGACCTTATCTCTAAAAAATAAAAATAAAAAAAGTAAAACCCAAAACAGGATCAAATTCTCTACAACATCTAAGAGGCGCTCTAAAAGAACAAGGACAAATGGAGGGCTACCATGGATTCACTCCTTTGGAAGACTGTCTATCAGGCCAGGCATGCTGGTTTACGCCTGTAATCCTAGCACTGTGGCACTCTGGGAGGCCAAGGTGGGAGGATCG